TGATCTTAACGAAGCGGATATTGGAAATCGAAAAAGTATCCAAAGCGAGCCAGAGACCGACAATTTTGATGACGCAAACGACCTGGCCAGTTAGACAAATCGGGCGAAGAATGACAATACACCAGGCCGCCCAGGCACGAAAACGGTCGACGATGCGGGCCCTGCTTGTCGTAAACTCGGACGTTTGCGGGAAAGAATTGTCCACGTCCTCGATGACATCTGGAAGCGAAGTGGCCGTTCGGTCGGGGATGCCTTGGAGCTTGAGGAAATACCAAACGAGGAAGCCCATAGCAAGACACCAGGTGGTGCAGAGCAAGTAGATGCCGAATCGTATTAGGTGTCTTCCGCTGAGTTGAGAGAGCGCGACGGAGAGGCCGGAGTACTGTAGAAAGGTGAAGATTATCGTGGTGAGCATGGGAATGAGAATGAGGAGTTGTAGGGTGTTGAAGAGCGGAGCGCGGCGCCTCGTCTGGGCGGGGGTGATGTCGGAGAGGTCGACATTGGTAAAGTGTGCATGTGGTACATGATGCGGGCGCGGGGAGGCGATTCTGTATGCGACTTCAACCGGACTGATTTGGGCGACGGAGATAAGATCATGGTCTGACGCTGTGTGCAGGTGGGGTTCGGGAACCTGTCTGAAAAAGCGGACGGCATGGCAGTGGAGGAAGGAGGCCGAGGTAGTGGCGAACAGCAAGGCGGTGGAGGCAGCCAATGCGACGCGGAGAATGGCGCCCTCCGGCTGGTGCTTGTCGACGTCGGACAAGAGCGGGAAGAAGTACGAGCGGGTCGGGCGCAGGAGGAGAGAGAGGGCGACGGCGATGAAGACGCCCACAAAGGTGACGAGAGCGGTGAGGCCGGCCAGCTTCCACGCATGCAGCGCGGCCCAGACGGAGAGGCGGCGCGCGGAGGGGGGAGGGTCGACAAGCTTCGCTTGCGTCATGGGGGCGGGCTGGGCGGCGGCGGCATGGGCGGAGGGCGGGGTGGCGGCGGACAGCACGGAGGTTGGTTGTGGAAAGGCGGGGTCGGAAGGTTGGCATGGGCGGGGCGAGGTGGCGGACGAGGTGGCGGACGAGGTGGCGGACAGACAGCGGGGCGTGAGGAAGTGGGGAAGGCCTGTCTGCGAGGAGAAGGATTGGGGGACAACGAGAAGATGAAGGGGAACTGGGGCGAATTGACTGGGGCACGTTGGCGCCATTAAGCGGAACATGATTGGATGCCGGGTTGTTTTGATTTGCCTTTATTATTACCCCTCCAGCCAAGCACATAACCTCAACGGTCCCACGATGCCGTGTACTGTAATGACTTGTGCTGACAGTATGTTCGCGATGTGTAATGTGATGTAATGCAATGCCTGATCCCGCCCCACGTTTCCGGATCGGGACCATCGGGACCATCGGGACCATCGGGATCATCGATTCGGACGCAGCCGGGCAGACCTGTGGTGTAGAATGGCTTTGAGTTCGTCAGTGCGCGGGCCGGGAGCTGATCAGGAAAATCTGGAGCGCATCTCCTCGGGTTGCCCCCCGAGGTCAAGCGAAAACACCTTGAAAACCGTCCCCCTATGGCACCCTAATCCTTATCATACCACTGTAGCCTCCTACCCTCATCAACGCCCTCTGCCTTCCTTTCACCTCCGGGAAACCCCCCTTTTTTGACCCCCGCTGCTCACCTTCGTCACCTACCCCTCATCCTCGTCGCTTGCCCCTCACCCCCGACGCTGCCTGTCCGCCCCCCGCCATCCCCTCCTCCAACCCTTCTTGCAGTCCCTCCTTCTGGGCCTCCGCGCACACATTTCCCTTCACTTGCGACCCGGCCCCACCCGCGCACCCGCTGTCGCTATCCCCCGCCGTTCGCGCCCCCCAAGAAACCCTCCCCTCGCCATGTCCGCCTTCGTCCCCGTCACCGCCTTCAAGGGCGCCTCCCTCACCTCGTCAAACTCGGCCGTCTGCGGCACCAAAGTCAAGTACTCTGCGCCCGCGCGTCGCTCCTCGCTCGTCATGAAGCAAGACGCCTGGGTCCCGCTGCTCGACACCTCGGAGATCTCGCCCGGCGAGCTCAAGGGCGTCGTCACCGCGGGTCAGCAGATCCTCGTCTCGTGCGATTATGACGGTCAGGTGTACGCCTCGGCCAACATCTGCCCTCATCTCGGCACCCCGCTCACCGACGGAAGCGTCGGCGACGGCGTCCTCACCTGCACCCAACACAAGAGCTCCTGGGATCTCAGCACGGGCGAACTGGCCGGCGACTGGTGCCCCTTCCCACCCCTGATCGGACCGGTTCTCGGTAAATTGCAGGGGCCCCGCCCGTTGACCATCTACCCGGTCCGCGAGAACGCCGGACGTATCGAGGCTTTGCTTGATGTCGATGCTAAGGCCGACTACGAAAAGGAGTACTGGCAGGGTATTTTGGATGCTACGGGCAAGGCAACTGGTGCGTATCACTAGACCGCACCTCCGCGTCTTGTGTCTACCGTGCTGTGGCCATGGAAATGGATCAAGCGAGCATGCGCGAGTCCTGTACCCCAACTTCTGTTGTGTATCTGCTAGCAATTAATACTTCGTTACGATGGTAAACTCGAAAGACAAAGATACCGTCCTTGTGCCCTTCACTCTCGGACGTGATCTCGACCTTTTGGTTTGGTATCCCGTCAAAGTGTGTCGACGATGACTCAGACCTCTACACTTCGCTGTCGTGCATGTTTGAGAAAACCCCTGAATTTTTGACGAGGTGTCCTTTAAACAGAACTTGACAGAACGAGTTTCGCTGTACTGTAATAGAGGGTTTACGCAAAAAAAAAGATTTCGTTATCGGGCCAAATGTTGTGAAACGTTTGCCACCCACCATACATGTCTCACAAAAAGCTAAGGAAACCAAGTCATTTTTCGCTAAATCGACGAGTTTGCGAAACCACGGACTCGGTCCTCGTCCCCTTCTCCACATCGCCTTATTCCACTTTTCCTCCCCATCCCTTTCACGACGAACACCCCACCCCTGCCCTCATCTTTCAGTTTCATGGAGGTGTCGCGACGGTGGATGGCGACGAGTGGGAGCCGTTATGTGTGGCACTCATAGATAAACCATTTTTTGAAACGGCGTAAACTCGCAAAACCAGTAGTTTCGACGGAAAATTCAGAATGGCACATGACTCATTTTTGCGCGTTTAGCCATTTCATTTGTTTTTTGCGGAAACTCTTTAATGGCAGTCCAGTGTTGAAACCCTACTTCCATAAAAAGAGGATAAAACGCCCGGCGCCGAAGCGCGCGAAAGAGACAAGCCTCGCCAGCTCCTTGACGTCCGTAACACGAGCCCTCTCGCGTGGTCACCATCGATTCTGACTCTGTCGTCCATGAACGTGACTGCCGTCGCTGAAAAAAACCTAAGTCAATGAGCTCATAAAGATCTCTTCTTTGAGCACTGAAACAAGAAAAAAAAACTCAAGATGGTTGTTTTCACGTCCAGAGGGCTGTTCTTCTTTTGTCCGCCGACACACACGTCGGACAGGTAGAACAAATAGGCCAGCGTATACAATGCGCTTATGCGAAGCATCGCTACTGATGACGAGAGAGGGACTCGAATGTACAGTATCGTCGTCCGGTAATGCATGTGGAGGTGTACTGTGTTGTCGCGTGGCAGCATCGCTGAATGCTGCTGTACTGTAGATGTCATTTCTTGTTCGGGATGAAAGCTGGACCCGGAGCATGACCTAACTCGAGAAACGTGCTGAAGGATTGCAGCAGGGACAGCACTGTACAGTAGTAAACTAGAAGAGTGAAAAAGAATCCGGGAAGGGTTTTATGTTGGCAGGACATGCAACATGTTTGATATGGTGAGACATAAAGAATCTTTACAGCCAATGAAAGAAATTGACGGTAATGTTGCACGTGATGGATGTCAATAATTGAAGAAAGGGAATGCCGTGACGATAGTTACGCTGAGGCCAGCGGAGTTTGGTGATCAAAGCTGCACTCGGAGCGTGTCTGCACTCGTAGCCAGGAGACAACCCCAACATGACGGCATGAAGGTGTAAACTGCTACACCCCCATGCCACGAGTTTCTCTTTGTATTTTACACATCGCGGGAGAGCGCAGTGGGGAGTGTCGGAGGGAGCGGCGAACGGACCTCGAAGGCCTCTAGAGAGGGAAGCGTGAAGCACGGAGTGTGTGCCACGTGCGCGGCGGGGACTAGCTAGGGCAGGAGACAAAGATGTGGCCACGTGTGTGACGTGGCAAATGGGCGACTACCTTCACTTTGTGGGCGGCAGGTGTAATTGACCAATGCGGGGTTGCCAGGTGCGCAGCGCAATTGGGGCGAGTGGGAAATAATTAAATTGCGATCTGGGACGCGTCTGCAGTGGCCTCCGGGGGCACTTTCTGGGAATCGCGGGCATCATGGCGGCGCCCAATCCATGGGCGATGAATTCACCGATGCCTTTGAAAGCAACCGAAACCCAACGCTTCCGTCCTCACCGTACAGTAGCTTCCTCTTCCTCCTCTCTCACCCACCCCTCACCCATCTCCTCACGCCACCTCCCCCCCCACGACGGCAGTCTACCCTCAG